TTCTTTTTTACTGAATTTACTTGAGGTTTTAAAGTAAAATCAACTTTTGAAAGCACATCTATTACCTAGAAAGTATGCTACCGAAATATATCTCAAACAATATTTCAAAGTATTTTTCTAGTTGATCTTTTTTTTACAGTTTAGAAAAGTTATTATACCTGTAAATCATAAGCTTGTATAAACGTATTATCTATATATAGTTGTTCCCATGAAATTAATTTTTATTTTAAATTGCGGACCTTTTTGGATTGTTTTGTTAAAGCAAAAAAAAAAACTTCATAACTTCGAAGCCTAACCCATTGAAGACTGCAAGGAAGTTGCTTTGTAACTTTCTACACACTGAAATCATTTCAAGAATTCGGGAATTTAAGCGTAAGCACTTCGCAAATGTTTGAAAAAAGTAAAGTATTTCTAATGAACTGGAAACAAATCTTTCAGAATCTCCAACTCATGGAGTGCTTACTGCATAACGAGAAATCTACAAGCCCATTCTTGCTACTCATCCCCACTCGTTTTGCTCACACCATCTTTTCCTGGTGTTATTTATAACACAGTATTTTCTGTTTTATACAACTGTACCGAAGCATGCCTGCTGTGGCTCTTGGCCTTCTCTTCTATCGTTAAGGGCATTCTCCACACTACGTAGCATGATTGAAGTGCCACGAGTTGCCCTGGATCACTACGTCATTGGTTGCTAGGCAACATTTTCGTTTACATCCTGCAAATGAAATTCAATCATTTGTTTTGAGACAACTGTTATTTCCATATGTGGAGAGATTGACGCACAAGTATTCAAATAAAAAAAAAACAGCAATAACAAGCGTCCTCTGTATCTATAGCAAATCGTAGAGAAAAAAGGTCTTGTTCAACTTTTAATAAGAGCTTAATTCAATGAAAGTGAATACTAAAACAGAAACAGTTTATCACATCAAACTAAGTATTAATATACTGGCTTCTCTTTTCTATATTAAACTAAGTGTTAATGTACTGGCTTCTCTTTTACTATATCAAACTAAGTATTAATGTACTGGCTTCTCTTTTACTCTATCAAATTAAATGTTAATATATTGACTTCCCTTTTACTATATCAAACTAAGTATTAATGTACTGGCTTTTCTTTTCTATATTAAACTAAGTGTTAATGTACTGGCAGTCATTTATTGGTTTTGCTCATATAATGTCAAATTTTTCATATTTTTTCTTATCATTTCATATTTTCTATGCTTATTTTAAAATCTGATATACTGGATTATAATACAAACGTATAAATGGTTACTTGAGTATGGAAGCGCATGATGTTAATATAATAATAAATTGGCAAACAACAATTTACAAGTATAATGAGGTGGTTTATTTCTGGAGGAACGTGTTATGTCGAAACATGTAGTATGTTCCCCCCCCTAAATAAACCACCTCAATATGCTTATAAATCGTTGTTTGTCAATATATTTTCACTATAAATGGTTATTTACCCTTGAAATTTCAAGTAATATTTAACGCAATAATAATGTTAAAAAATTCGGATAAAAAGTCACGGTTAGTTGTGCTTTTTTTTGATAAACTAAGGCGCATACATATATATCACGTGGTAATGCTACTCATAAGTTTTGAAGTTAATAGTTTGTACACAATAGGTAACCTTTCACCGTGGACGGCCAGATATGGTAATATTACACTTATCACGAACATATTGTATGATTATGTTTTGAAATTATTTTCCATTCTTATGAAAAATTATTTCTGATTTTCCCTTAAAAATATAAATCTTGATTATAAACTCTAACATCAGGAAAGTTTAGTATAGTAAGCTAAATCTTGCAAAACTGCTATTCCGATATATTAGAAAAAAAAATGTTTGTAGTTAAACACAAAGCTACACAATGGACTATTCGTGCTATGCATACTACGGGTATAGAGACCTGATTTCTAGCGTTATAAGTCAGCAGACTTGCCTCTCTGGCTTAAAAAAAAAAGAGGGAAAAAGGAAAAAAAAAATCAAGGATTACTAGAGAGTATGTTTGTTTGTTTTGAATTTCGCGCAAAGCTACACGAGGGCTATCTGCGCTAGCCATCCCTAATTTAGCAGTGTAAGACTAGAGGGAAGGCAGCTAGTCATCACCACCCACCGCCAACTCTTGAGCTACTCTTTTACCAACGAATAGTGGGATTGACCGTCACATTATAACGCCCCCATGGCTGAAAGGGCGAGCATGTTTGGTGTGACGGGGATTCGAACCCGCGACCCACAGATTGCGAGTCGAGCACCCTAACCACCTGGCCATGCCGGGCCCACTACTAGAGAGTCTGAACGTGCGCTGTACTTGACAAATTGTGAAAAGTCTTTTGGAACGTATTTTATCATCGATATTAAATGCAGAAAAATATAAACTATTCTATATCCTTTTTTATATGGACAAGAAGTGAGTTATTATTATTATTATTTTCTGGAACAAAAAAAGTGTTTTTTTGTTTGTTAAATTTTTAGAGTAAGAGAAGATTAGGGTGAAAAAATAATCACAACAAAAATTGTCTGTACGATAGATCGTATCAAAGGGAGATTTACCAGTATGCCTTCCCTATAAGCGACCCTTCAGTGGCACAGCGGTATAGCTGCGGACTTATAACGTTAGAATCTGGGTTTCGATATCCGTGGTGGGCAGAACACAGATAGCCCATTGTGTAGCTTTGTGCTTAACTTCAAATAAACCCTATAAGCGAACATTTAAAATTAAAATATTAAAATGTTTTATAGAGGATCATTGTAAACATTTCTAAAGAAATGGAAAACTTCCCGAGTTCTGTATTAGATCAGGTAATATAACTAACTGAGCTATAGGGTCTCGAACACCAAAATATTAATTTCATTAATTTAAGGTAGGATAGGAATCTTACACTATCCTAAACATAAAGGATGAGATGACTTAAGAAGAATAAAGATTAGCTGACTTAAGAAGAATAAAGATTAGCTGACTTAAGAAGAATACGGATTATAAGATTGCTTTTTAATTTAAAAAAAAGTTACCTTCAACTAGAAATGAGCTGACTTAGAAAATATTTATTTTAAAATACATTGAACATCAATATGATATTTTTGTCGTTTCTACAGCTGGTATAACTAAACAATGAGCAGTACACAGATGTAAGATTTGAGGTATTTAAACGCTATGTCTGTTACGCTTCTATGAATTTTTCAGGCACTTAGGCTTAGAGGAGCTAAGGTAATGCCTGATATAAAAACAGAACACCTGCACTGTGCTTTTGTTATTTATACAAAAGCACGATAAGCCTAATTTCCGCACCTTTTCCTGACACTGTATTCAATGAAACAATATATAATGGAGAAGAAAAACTCCCCTAATAAAGTACTTTGAACCTACACCTACATTTTCTGCTGTCATACACTTCCAAGAAACATCATTCGCCATCGCTTGAGGGAGCCACAAGAAAGAGTCTCTTTAGCTTTCTATTTTTCTTCATCTTGTCTGAGATATTTCTTACTGAAAACACTTTTATATTTAGCACACATTTTTGTTTGTTTTCAAACATTTCCTTAAAGGTGCCCTCTATCTCGTTACTAGGCGACATTATAGAAATCATACCACATAGTTTAGGCTAATATTGTAGTTTGTTTTTCCTGAAAATATGAAACATTAAAATAATTAAACAATGCATTCTCAGAGCACTACTGATTATTGAAACGTTCAAAAGAATTAAACAACACGTTATTAAAGCATTGCTGAGCATTGAAGTGTTCAAAATACTTAAACAATACATCATCAGAGCAATGCTGAGCATTGAAGCAAAAAAGAAAAAAAGGTAAACAGTACATTACCAAAACATTGAAGAGTATTTCAACGTTCAACATAATTGAACAACACATTCTCAGTGTAATGCAGAGCATTGAGGTGCCCAGAATGTTTCATTCTAAGGCTTTATAAAGATTATGTAACATTTTAACAAGACAAGGCAATCTGCATTTTGAGTCATGTTTTACTGTGATCGATGAAAAACCTCTAGAACAATTGATGGGTTAACACTGAAGAGCCTGAACTTCGGCTACTCTATAAAATTTAAATTTATTTATCTTTTAAACTGTAAAATATTTTAATGAAGTTGTTTTTACTGTAGAGCATCGGCATTTTTAAAGTAGTGAACTGTAGTTGAAAGTTATGCATTTATTTTACAGCTACAGCTACATGAATAACGGAATTTTAACCTAAATATATGTACTTGTCGTACATTTTTATGTTCACTGTGATCTGACAAAATCAACATTTCTGAACATAAGAAAATTAAACAGTAAAACAGAAAATGCGCATAAAGACACATATCCGTACAAACTCAACAAACAAACCCCTTCTTCCATGTGTACATAAAATGTATTTTAAGCCTAACATCACTATAGAATTAGAATAAAACTACAAATATTTCTTGATGATTAAGGGCCGGGCGTGGTCTAATGGTTAGCGTATTGGGCTGCGGATCGAGAGTCTGATGTACTAGAAAAGCTCCGCATTTTCAAATGTGGTCGTGTTATAAAAGTGACAGCCAATCTCGTTGTTTGGTTTAAAAAGCTAGACAAAATCCTTGTGGCAGCGGATGAATCTTTGAGGTCTTTGATCCCTTTTATCCTACGGGAACATAAGAGTTGAAAATTCGAATGCTAATTTTTGTTGATTAAAATTTGGTCTTAAGCGTTGTACATACTCACTGATTCGTGATTGTGATGGCAAATTGATTAGGATAGCCAACACAGATACTGTTGATCATTCAGACAGGCAACAGACGTAGATGTTTTATTAGTTTATCAGTTTAGTGTGCAGTCTGGCAAATTACTTGAACTACATTTTAATATTTTAATTTATATTTTCCCCATTTTTATTTTATTGCAGATGGAACCTGTTGCTCATTTTTATTTTGTAACAAAAAATAATAACAAGGAGTTTTGAATTTACCCTTTTAATCAATATGTTTCAGGTTTATTTTGTATTTTCTTTTAGCGAAGAAGAGGAGGAGGAAGAAGAAGAGGAAGTTAAGTGAGTTAATAAATTCATATTTGGCTTATAATATATTTATATAATTATGTTTAAGAATTTTGCAAAAATACAAACAATACTTTAGCCTGTAGTTTTCCGAATTATTTGCTAACAATTTATGACAAAAACGATTTTCAAATACACATATAACATAAACCTTAAATACAATTTTGATAAGAACACTCATCAGAACATAACTTCTGGTTGAGCTAATATTAAAAGTCATGTTAAATATCTTCAGCTGTTGAGAAAAAAATTACCATTTCAAAAGTATATCTAATATCCATAAAATTGAGTAGCTCTGAAAAACAAAGCGTTTCGTTACATAAACATAGTTTTTTGAGAAAATAAGTTTGAATCAAAATCGGATAGAAAGTTGGAACACAAGTGTTTAAAAAATTAAACGAAGTTTGAAATTATGGAGAAATTGCATGAGTCGACTGAAAACTTTAAAAATATTTTCACATATTATCCTGCTGAGGATACTGTGCAGTTCTTTTTTTTTTCCTCTTATAAGTGGTATCTACATTTTTGCAATACAATTTACGTATTTTCGATTCCAACACACACAAATGTTTCATTCGAAAGTTGTGAATTTTAATTCTGATTTGAAGGGAAATACACCGACACTGCAAATGAATTAAATTATTATTAGCTTTTACAAAATATCAGTTATAATTAGGACCAAAACTTTAAAATCTTTCAAACGACTTCGCTGACAAAAATTATAATATAAACAAGCAAAGATGTCTTTGTGTTTATATTTTCACTTTTAATTTATCTTTTTATTTTTCAATATGTGCTATTTTCCTTATAATAGTTACACTAATTTTCTTGAGGATCTTGCATTTAGGTTTCAACTTAACAGTTATTTCTTCTGCAACTGTAGTTCCTGCACGGAAAAAAATCAGCTCGTTAGAAGCCACCCTGCTTGAATTTATCAAGTGACTAGAACCGAACACCCTCAAGAAAGTGTAACAGTGGCAAAAGATTTATAATCACAATCATTGGACTAAATTTTACTTGAAACAGATCAAAAAGTAGCGCGAATGGATTTGATTTCAAGAGGCTTTCATAATTTAATGACTTCAACAGATGAACTGACAGCATAATCATTTTATGAAGTCCTTCAGTGGGACAGCGGTAGGGTTACGGACTTACAATGCTAAAATTCGAGGTTCGACCCTCCAATATAGACACAGCAGATAGCCTAATGTCGCTTTGCTCTGAAAAAACAAACGTTTTATGAAAGATCATTTTCGGATCCCTGTGTCAGTAACAATCTTGGTGGCACCACTATTACTAGATCATTTTCGGATTTCTGTGTCAGTAACAATCTTGGTGGAACCACTATTACTAGATCATTTTCTGATCCCTGTGCCAGTAACAATCTTGGTGGCACCACTATTACTAGATCATTTTCTGATCCCTGTGCCAGTAACAATCTTGGTGGCACCACTATTACTAGATCATTTTCTGATCCCTGCGTCAGTAACAATCTTGATGGTACCGGTATTACTAGATCATTTTCTGATCCCTGTGTCAGTAAAAGTCTTGGTGGCATCACTATTACTAGATCATTTTCTGATCCCTTCGTCAGTAACAATCTTGGTGGTACCGCTATTACTAGATCATTTTCGTATCTCTGTGTCAGTTATAATCTTGGTGGCACCACTATTACCACTCATGACGGGGAATGGTTAAAGACATATTCTGTTTCGGCTTGTTTATTACCTCGTTTATTACAAAAATATTGAAGAAAGGTTTTGTTTCTACTACCGATTTCAAGCAAGTTACTAGTATAACTCGAAGTCACTCAAGAATTTGTTTATCAGAAGCTTTCCTTGTAAAAATCGGTTAATGTAAGAAATTGTTTGTTATATTTTTTTACCACCAAGATGGTGATGAGATGGTTTAGTATGATTCGGCCGTTAAAGTTTTCAAATTAATCCTCATTTCATAGACTCTTGCAAAAAAGGTTGTTGTTGATTTTCAAAGATCTTGTTTACTACCATTTATAGAGTGATTAGTATTTTAGGGAAGTTAATTTTAACTTAAAATTATTCCAGCAGTGAACTTTTATAGACCTCATCCGGATCAGCAAGTAAACGACATTTCGTTCTTTAACTTCCCTTCAGACTTTTATTCAAAAATTTTTGCCTGAATTTTCTCTTGTAGATTCTCATCACGGCAGAAGAAGTCTGAGTAAGTAAAATCATGTCCCCGTGGGCTGTCAGTTGAACGTGAATAATGTTTCGATCGTCCTTGTTATCCTTGCATGGAAATTTTTTTGCAATGTGAATTTTGCGGATGAAATTCTTAAATTTCTGTTAATACATGACGTTTAATAACTACAAAAGCTAGATCTTGGACCGTTAACCACCATCTTAACCCAATTATATTTTAAGAACACTTATCATGCGCTAATGAAATAAAAAATTAAAGTGTTCATTTTGATTTGACCATGTAAGACCTTCGGTAACTATCACAAGTTCAACATGATTATAAACCTAAAACTTAGCATTTTATTTCCAACCATTCGTAAGTAATATAGTCATAGACAATATATATATTATAGGCAGTTCTATTTTCATGACAGCGAACAAAAAACAGTTATTAACCATTGAAGTGTCCTAATGCTAATTATTTTCTTAAAATAAATTTGAGCTTCTCATACTTCCAATTGTGTGTTCTGCTCAGATCAAATTTCCGTTTTGTTTCTAAGTTTACTTGACTTAAATTGTTCATCATGCCAAAAACAAAATATAAAACATTAACTCCCAAACTGATGGAATTTTGAAGATTTTTTCTAATTTTGTAAATGTATTTTATTGTTTGTGTAATCAAGCACAAAGATACACAATGGGCTATCTGTGCTCTGCCCACCACGGGTATCGAAACCCGGATTCTAGCGTTGTAAGTCCGCAGACATACTGCTGTGTCACTGGGGGGCATGTATTTTATACTGACGTTAGTTTTTAAACATGTAAATAAAATACCCGTTTGCACTATTTTTTACAAAGCAATTTAACATTTTTTTTTCAAATTTAAATCATTTGATTGACTGCATATATCTCTCAGATGTGATGTATTTCCTTATCTTAAATTTATTAAGAAATTATTGTTGAAATACAAAATGAACTGTCGCGCTTTTTGAACTTTGTCGTTTTTTTATACAAGAAAGCCTCACAATGATGCACTGGTAAATCTGAGGGCTTATAACCCTAAAATCGGGTTTCGATACCTGCAGTGGGTAGAGCACATATAGCCCAGTGTATAGATTTGTGTTTAACAACAAACTTGTACCACATGTACCACAAAACACTAACGGTCTCTACGACATTGTCCGTCGAAACTTATATTGAGCAAGTTTTGTAGCTTTACCATATATTTAATTAAATTTATATATATATATATTTATATATATGTAACCAGTGAAAGTGTTTATAAGAATGTTCATAGCACTCGGTTTCCAGAATGCTTTATTGGAAGCTTTAAATAATAATCATATTGATATTGATTGGAATATTACCCAGAACAATGCTAGAACAAAAAGTTTTCACTGATCATATTTTGTGATTATCAAGGTCCAGATTCTTCGTCGCAGTATAAGATATTATTTTTGATCATCATTGTTGTATTTCACTAACAATGCGAAGGCTTTGTTCTGGTGTTGGTTATGGTTTATTGTCTGTTCTGTTTGGCTAACCCTGTTTTTCTTGGTGTACTGTTACGACAGCGGAAGTCACGCAACGCCGGGAGCATGCACGCTGGAGTTTCTCGAAGGATCATGAATTTTCCTGGCAACTATAGTTTGTTCCAGACGCCCTCTTTTTTTTTTTTCGTCCCACTCTCTGACATAAATTTGTTACGTCTCTGTTCGTTTGTCAATTTTCCGTAGAAATTCTTTCCGAGAAACTTCAGCGATACAAGTCCTTTCTTAAATAAAACTAGTTTATTCTTTCTCGATATAACTTTGTAATACACAGAATTTCCACAGTCACCTTAACTTAACTACTTTTATAAACACACGCTATGATTCTCAACGATTCACACACTTTACTTACGGTGGCTACTGTTCGCTTGACTCAATTATTTATCTCTATATCTATCTATCTATCTATGCAATTCTATATTTTCCACTGGCTTTATTTGCCGGGCTTATATACTAAAAAAGAGGGCGCCTAGAACAAACTAGTGTTGCCAGGAAAATTCATGATCCTTCGAGAAACTCCAGCGTGCATGCTCCCAGCGTTGCGTGACTTTCGCTGTCGTAACAGTACAAATGTTAAAAGCAGTGAAAAGCTCCACAGTTGAAAGATAAATTATTACATGTCAGTTTTCGTTAGACATGTATCCTCTATAAAATGAATGCCAAATTTTCATTGCTGAGAGTCAAATTTTCTTTGAGATTTTATTAGACTAAATTTCATTTAAACAATTAATTTGAAGAAAATCACTTTAATTTATTTGGTGTATGATTTTTATAAGCATGTCATCTTACATATTATCAGCATGAGGAAAAACTAGTGTCGGCATCTTTGTTCTATGTTTGAAATTGTTTTGTTGGAAGTTGCAATTTATAATGCTACCTAAATTCATTTATTCAAATTGTAAATGAAACTATTCGCTTTCAAGCAGATATGTTAACGATTAGTTTGATCACCTACAAAATAATTTGTAAGTTTCTTACGAATATAGATATAAAAATAAAAATTCGACTTTTTAAATAGATTATAAAGCTTTGTATGGTTATGTATTTCTAAACATTTATTTGTGTAACAAAATCATCTCTGGCTTTTAATTTAAAAAGTGATTATGAATCTTACTATATCTGTAATATTACTGAACGTTTACTATGCTTACTTGTTGACATTTAACTACAATAACTTTTAACCAATTAAAAGCTCAAATTAATGAAATAAGTGTCTGAATCGTGTTCGTTAAGCCTACTGATTTCTAGGAGTTAGGCCTAATGATCACGCTTTGGCGATTGATCGTAGTTCTTATGAGTTACTTTTAATTATTAGGCCACAACAAGCTGCACCTCAGGCATCAGAAGCTGAAATGGCTATGGAGGTGAGTGTGGATCTAGTATCCAATTTCTATGGTAATATACTTCCTTAAAAATGTTTATACACATGAAATTAAAACTGTATTAGGTATTGTTTTAAAGATACATTAAGTGATGGATAGTGATTCATCTTGGATAGTACCACAATCTTCGACCAACTACACCTGTTTCTAGATGACGTTTTGAACTATTTACGCCAGCAGTTTGAAACTGCAGATGGACAAAGTTTATTACTTAAACCAAACTGAACTAGTTTTTCAGAACGTTGATTGCTTCTGTAAAACAGTCAGTAATATTTGTTAGTAAATGTGAGCGTGGAAAGGTTATAATTCCGAAAACAAAATGCATAAAGTAGCCCTGAAGTTTTAAAATACTTTATTTTTTCATTACGCGATACGTCATTATTTTTTAACTTGAGTTACTATGTTGCTTACCAAATGTTTAATATCAGGAGAAGATGCGTAAAAAGAAAGAAGAGGAAGAAGCTATGTGGGAAGAGTATATGGAACAACGACGTATTCAAAGACAGAAAGAAGAGGAAGAATTGAAAAAGTTGAAAGACAGACAGGTAAAACGCAACGGAAAAACTATTGGATTTTCTTATTATGATGTCAATTACCCGATTTATTCATTCCACGTGTACAATTCACATTCTTTCTTGCTATGTAGAGTACTTGTTTCCTCTGAAGAAGAAAATAAAACGCCTTACTCTAATTTATGTGCTAAACATTGATCTATTGTTACATCCAAAAGTAATATAATCTTAGGAATAATATTTCCTTCTTACATCCAAAAGTAGTATCTACTTAGGAATAACATTTCCTTCTTACATCCAAAAGTAGTATCTACTTAGGAATAACATTTCCTTCTTACATCCAAAAGTAATATATACTTAGGAATAATATTTCCTTCTTACATCGAAAAGTAATATCTACTTAGGAATAATATTTCCTTATTACATCCAAAAGTAATACATACTTAGGAATAATATTTCCCTCTTACATCCAAAAGTAATATCTACTTAGGAATAATATTTCCCTCTTACATCCAAAAGTAATATCTACTTAGGAATAATATTTG